CCGAGTACCTGGTATCCCGAGTAAGTACCTGGGTAATCCGTAGTAGTACCTGGGTATCTGTATCCGAGTACCTGGGTATCCGAGTAAGTACCTGGGTATCCGAGTACCTGGGTATCTGTATCCGAGTACCTGGGTATCCGAGTAAGTACCTGGGTATCCGAGTACCTGGGTATCTGTATCCGAGTACCTGGGTATCTGAGTAAGTACCTGGGTATCTGAGTACCTGGGTATCTGTATCCGAGTACCTGGGTATCCGAGTACCTGGGTATCTGTATCTGAGTACCTGGGTATCCGAGTAAGTACCTGGGTATCCGAGTACCTGGGTATCTGTATCTGAGTACCTGGGTATCCGAGTAAGTACCTGGGTATCCGAGTACCTGGGTATTTTTAATTTTTGTTTTTATTTTAATTTTTTCAAGTACCTGGGTATCTGTATCCGAGTACTATGGGCGGCAGTAGCTCAGTTAGTAGAGCGTTCGCCCGCTGATCTGAGGGTCGTCAGTTTGATTCCAGCTCTCGACATAAACTCAACCTGTGGTTAAGTGTTCAGATCCACTGATCCACTGGTGTGATTCCAGCTCCCACAGATGAATGCTGCCGTTGTGTCCTTGGGCAAGACACTTAACCCACCTTGTCCAAAGTGTCTGTGCGCACTGGTGTGTGAATGGGTGAGTGGTTCCTTGTTGTAAAGCACTTTGAGCCTTGAAGGTGGACAAGCACTATAGAAAAATGTGACCATTTACCTGGGTATTTTTTTATTTTAATTTTATTTTGTATTTTTAATTTATTTTTTTATTTTTTTTTAAGTACCTTGGTATCCGAGTACCTGTGTATCCGAGTAAGTACCTGGGTATCTGTATCCGAGTACCTGGGTATCCGAGTAAGTACCTGGGTATCCGAGTACCTGGGTATCTGTATCCGAGTACCTGGGTATCCGAGTAAGTACCTGGGTATCCGAGTACCTGGGTATCTGTATCCGAGTACTTGGGTATCCGAGTAAGTACCTGGGTATCCGAGTACCTGGGTATCTGTATCCGAGTACCTGGGTATCCGAGTAAGTACCTGGGTATCCGAGTACCTGGGTATCTGTATCCGAGTACCTGGGTATCCGAGTAAGTACCTGGGTATCTGAGTACCTGGGTATCTGTATCTAGTACCTGGGTATCTGAGTAAGTACCTGGGTATCCTATCTGTATCCGAGTACCTGGGTATCCGAGTAAGTACCTGGGTATCTGAGTACCTGGGTATCTGTATCCGAGTACCTGGGTATCCGTTAATTTACTTGAGGTGAGTAATGTAATCTGGATACTTTGGATTACTTGATTTGCTGTGGAGAAGCAAAGACGAGGAAATCGTAACTTAAGATGTTTTGTCTGATAAAAGAAAATAAAAAGCCCAGATTTTACTGAACCAGATTCGCTCACACGTTCACACTCCAGTGCACACGGACAGACAGACAGTTAAGTGTCTTGCCCAAGGACACAACAACAGCACTCATCTGCGGGAGCTGAAATCAAACCTCCAACCTTCTGATCAGAGGACAAACGCTCGACCAACTGAGCCACTGTAAGAAAAAACAAAACAAGTCCTTTTATTTAAGGAAACACATTTATTTCCATCCACCAGTACAAAATATTCACACAGACTCGCGACACAAATCACAAAATCCAGACGCACAAACGATCAAATGTCATCACAGTGGAGCGGCACAAAAACGCTGTTACTGCAGAGCCCACCGGGGGGCGCCGTTTACTCTGAATACTGCCTGAATGAAGTCAAACCTGTCGGGCTCGTCTGTGTCGTAACATGCTCGGCCCACGCTCGGCCCACGCAGACGCAGCCACAAAATAAACTATTAATACTTCATTACCAAAAATGATACGTGTGTTCTGGGGTTTTCGGTGACTCGTGATAAAAATTCTACAAAAATAAACTCTAATTAAAGATCTGACAATGTGTTTTTTTGTTTTTTTTTTGTGATAAATTTCCTAGAACAGAGAAATTTATGTAAAATAACTTGGACATGCAAATAAAATAAAATAAAAAACAAAACTGAGAGCGATGTAAACTGACTTGGTTGTGGCTTAAAACTTTCTCTGTTCACATTTACGTCACAAAACCAGAAATTTTAAAATGTAATCCCCTACAGATTACAGATTACATACCCCAAAATGTAGTTTGTAACGTAATTCATTAAATTACTTAAAGTGAGTAAAGTAATCTGAATACTTTGGATTATTTGATTTACTGTAGAGAAACAAAGACGAGGAAATTGTAACATAAGAAGGTTTGTCTGATAAAAGAAAATAAAAAAAACACAGTCTTTACTTAAACAAATTAAAAATATTATTGATAGAAGACGAAAAGACACGGTCCACACGGCATGGTTTAGACCTGGTTTAGACCTGGTTTTAGTCCTTGGTTTAGTCCTGGTTTAGACCTGGTTTAGACCTGGTTTAGACCTGGTTTAGTCCTGGTTTAGTCCTGGTTTAGACCTGGTTTAGTCCTGGTTTGGACCTGGTTTAGTCCTGGTTTAGTCCTGGTTTAGACCTGGTTTAGACCTGGTTTAGACCTGGTTTGGTCCTGGTTTGGTCCTGGTTTAGACCTGGTTTAGTCCTGGTTTGGACCTGGATTAGTCCTGGTTTGGACCTGGTTTAGACCTGGTTTAGACCTGGTTTAGTCCTGGTTTAGTCCTGGTTTAGCCCAAAATGTGAAAAGAGGAAAATCCCGCCGTGGAATCCTTTTATTTCAACAAAGTAACTGTAGCAGCCCAACACACGTTTAAAGCTGCACTCTGTAACTTTCCCGGTAAGAGTCCAGCACCTGGTTGTGTCCATGGAGATCTGCCAGGGACATTGCTTTTGTTAAAATGTCCCACAGTACGGCATTAAACTGGCTTATTATTTCATTATCAAGTGTTTTTCACAATAAATTAGAAGAAAAGTCTGTAAAAATACTGTACGTGGGCTCACCTCTCCACAAACCTGACCTGTAAATGGACTTATTCCTCGTCTCCATGGAAATATGTAAGTTTAATATCATACTGTGAAAAATTCCAGGCAAAGCAAAGCAACATCTCCATGGTGACGAACCCTCCGCCCGGAAAGTTACACAGCGCACCTTTAAATCTACGCTTCATTTGCGATTTTCTTTTATTTTTCCAGATTGTTTACTTCTTTTTTTTATTCTGGGAAAAATTTATTTTGTTGTAAGACGTGCACAAAAAATTATAAGATACTAAGCCTCACGATACAATCAAATTCTTAAAAAAATTCTAAAAAAAAAAAGACAATGAAAGCATCCGATTTTGTAAATAGAAGAAAGTCTAGAACATAAATTAAATTTTTTTTTTTTTTCACTTTCAGAAGGAATCAGCTTTTAAAAAAATTGTTATATGGTCTAAAATAACGGTCACCAAACTTTTTTTTTAAAGGATTGCTAATAAACAGAGGATTTTTTCAGGGACCATGGAGAGGGACAATAACAACACAAAATGCTCTAATAGTTTGAAAAAAATGCATTAATAATCATTTAATTTGCTCTATTTTTAGGTTAATTTGCACCACATTTTCAGAGTAAAGTTGGTGGTAGATTACCGTATTTTTTGGACTATAAGGCACACTTAAAATCTTTTAATTTTCTCAAAAATCGACGGTGATCCTTATGTATTAATTCTGGTTGTGTTTACTGACCTTGAACTGATTTTCTGTGGTGCACGTCGCTCAAAAATCTGTCAAAATGTTTTAATACGACTTTGTTAAACTACTAAGTTGCTTGATGGATTGTCGGAGAATTACGGCGACCGAAGTCAGGAGCCTCGCGGAGTAAAGGAGCGAGCCGTTTTTTTCAGAGCTTATAGTTTATGCAAATGGTTTTAAGTTTTGCTTCTGTAAAACTTAAACAAATGTGCGCAAAGCTGCATTAAACACATTTTTATGCAGTGTATATTTCTGCCGATGGATCATGGACGTCTGGACTAAGGGTCAGTCTCAAGTGTCGTCCGTTTGTTTTGCTTAATGCCCCTTAGACCTCGTCCGCACTAGTTCCTATTGGAGTCGTTTTCTGTTGTGGATGTTCGTTCACACTAATCTGACGGAAAACTACTCTGGTGCCTCCAGCTCCCACGAATTCATGTGAGTACAGATCTGATCCTTGACTGTGTGGACGCCTGAAAACACTGATACTCTGATGTCGGTCTGTGCATCGCGAAGTCATTCACCGACAAAACAGTAAGAGACAGAATATCTGTCCGTTCATATAAACGTGTGTCTGTGTGTTCGACCTGCAGACGTGTAATCTGTGCAAAGTTTAACATGAACCAACACGACAGAAACACAGAACAGACTCACCATCAGCAGAACACCCCTCTGTCACAGACAGAACACTCATATTACATATATCTATCATATTATATGAGTCGTGTCCTTTTTAAGTCCGACAGAAGCTGAACCGCATCAGGAGCTGTTTGTTTTTTGAGCGCTCAAGGTCAATTTACGGTCCAGCGTCCAATCATCTGCGTCATGACGCAGAGAGTCAGTGTTGACGTGTCCCCCTACACAGAGAATCTGCGTCGACAAACATGCACCTCCAAAATTTTCTAACTACGCGTCAAAACGCCGCAGACAGCAGGGGAAGCGACGCAGACTGTGATTGGTCGTCCGTACCATCGCTCTACAGACATTTCCTGTCGGCTTTTCTTTCTTTCAGTTTATATTGAGAAAAAAATTGTTTAATGCAGGTTTGTGCACATGTGTTTACATTTTACAGAAACGAAACTTAAAACTGCATGGCAACTTACATAAACTAAGCGCCCATAAAACAGCTCCTGGTTTCGAGGTTCAGCTTCTGTCGGACTTAAAAAGGACACGACTCAGTGGAATATGAGTGTCTTTCTGTGACAGAGTCACACTGTACTAACGGTGAGTTTGTTCTGTACTTTTATCGTGTTAGAGATGGTTCATGTTAAACTTTTAGAGATTATACGTCTGCGGGTCACACACACAGACACACGTATATATGAATGGACAGAGATCGTCGCCCCCTAGTGTTTTGGCAGTGAATTACTTCGCGGTGCACAGACCGCGACGCAGATCCATAAATCAAAAACGACGGCGACGAGGCGACGGCGGCAGAGCGCGTTGAGTCGACGCAGAACTATACCTCACCCTTCAGTTTATGCAAATTCGCCCTGTGGTTTTAAGTTTCATTTCTGTAAAACGTAAACAAATATGTGGATCGGGAAGAATCGCGGACACAGAAACGACGTGTCTGGACGCAGATCGTTTCCGATACGATGATTCGTTTCAGTGTAAACGTAACTTTATGCATGGAGAATTCAACGTTAACGATATTGCACCTTATAGTCCAAAAAATACGGTAAAAGTTTTATTCTTTGGGGCCTCAGACGGGTGTTTGTGGATCCCTGGTCTAAAGAACATTGACATAGCTCCCATCGGCAAAGCAAATAATGTAAAATACTACTATACACAATTAAAGCTTTCAAAATAAAATCTAAAAAAAATTCAACTCGAGAGCGTGGAAACAATGCGTCCACGTTCTATTCCGCGCCGAACACAGAACATCATAACTCATTGTCGTCCATAATCCGTGTTATTCTAGGTTTCAAAGTGGCACATTCAGCTCTCAAGTCCATTGCTGTTTAGTGCTCAGTCTATTGAAAACTTCTCATTATCTCCTTCTGCCCTGGGCGCAGTCGCGGGGACATTATGGAGGTATGAGGCGTGGCAGTTTGGAAACGATCCCAAAAACCAGTGTGTGTGTGTGTGTGTGTGTGTGTGTGTGTGTGTGAAAAAGGGCAACCGCAGATTCGTCTTCACGTCACAGATGCGGTGAAGTGTTGCAACTTTCTTATGAGGCACTTTCTGCGACGCGATGACAGAAGAGTTTGCTTTAAAAAAAAAAAAAAAAAAAAAAAAAATACAGAACATGTCGCGGCATCGTCTCCTCCTGCCAAACATCTAGAGTTTCATCTGTCAACCCGGAAACGTCTCCTCCGTTCCCACGCTGGGTAAATAACGCAAGAGAAGCCGTAAAAAAAAAAAAAAAAAGCTCTCTCAGCGTTGCGGTATTTGGACTTTCAGCTTTGAAAACACGCCTGGAAGTTTGTTTGAGGCACTTGCGTTAAAGTAATTCCGTTTGTTTACAAAGGCGATAAAAATTCATTGAGGGATCTTGAGGTTTTGCGACGTTCAGGCACTTTCCCCGGATTTGCTCGCAGCGTAAGTCAGCGTCGTTTTAATGAGCTTAATTGTTGACGTAAACGCTTCAGTTTCGCAGTGGGCGACCGCAGCGAAGCACCCAAAGACCCATTTTTAAATCTGGAGCAAGGTTCGTGGTCAGGAGTAGCGAGCTGGAGGATGAGGCAATTGTGCGGGTTGAAAGTTGACGGGGGAAAGTGGGTCACCTTGTCGAGAACCCCTCAAAAAAAATGAAAAAAAAAAAAAAGTAAATTCCACATTCAAACGTCTCATGCGGGTTTATCCGTTATCAAAACAAACAAAAAAGACACAAATATTTAAAGAAAATGTTCTTAAAAATTCCGTTTCTTAACATTCCGGTCGGTGCGCCAACTAGACGATCTGCGCTTTGTGAATGAGCGAGGCGTGGGGGCTCACGATTGGAGTCAATGGTCGTATTTTGGGCCGTAGCGAGCCGTTGCTGTTGGGGTAGGACACCTGGGAGCTGTTCTCGCTGTCCTGGTCCTCGGGCGGGTCCTGGCTGTTGGTGGGTCCGCCCAGGCCCTCGTCCACCTCGTCCTCGTCGTCGGTGACCGGGGGGTAGGGCGGCGGGCTGCTCATGGGCGGCAGGGGTAAGGGGGCCTTGATGATGCTGCTCTGCCGGGACCCTCCGGACTCGCTGGGGATGAGGAGGCCCCCGTTGATGTGCCGGACCACCTCGGTGCTCTGGATGGGGTAGGAGGTGGGCAGCAGGGGCGGCTGGTACCGGGTCTCCTGCTGGAAGACACAAAGTTAAATCTATAAAGTCAATTAAAAATAAATTCAAACCATCAGTGAGGAACAGCGTTTAAGTTTACATTTTTATCCACGCCCATTTAGTCCAGTCTTTCTGCCACTGTGAAATTGCACCATGACACAAAAACAACGGTCTGGGAGAGAGTCATGCAGTTGTTCTTTTAAAGCTTTAATATCTCTGCGTCTAATTTCAACCTGGAAAGACTCAGATCGACAAAAAAAGAAAAGATTTGTAGGTTTTGGAATGACCTGCCTGAGGAAAGAAGACGAGAACCATCAGGATCATCTTTTAAATCACTTCTTAAAAGGCATTTGGTCTTCAGTTGTCCTTCCTTTAACTTTATTTATTTATTTATTTGAGACAGGGACAGCGCACAATTTTCGCATTAACCTTGACAGGAGAGATGCATTGTACATCAGGTTGTAGCATCAGTGCTAATTTCCACCTGTCGTCCCTGGACAGGTTCATTGATTGATTGTATTTAACTAAACTTGACTATCAACTGTTCTGGACCTGGAGCATGTTTTGGGTTGATGGGGGAAACCGGAGGAAACTCATCCAGACACGGGGAGAAACATGCAAACTCCACACAGAAAGGCCCTGGGCGACCAGGGGATCGAACCCGGAACCTTCTTGCTGTGAGGCATGAGTGCTAGACACTCAGCCACCGTGCCGCCGGTTTTAGTTTGATTTCATTCCTTAGTTATTTATTCAATTTCATTAATGTATTTATTATAATTCATTATAATAAACTGAATTGTTTGCATAATTGTCTGTCAGAGGTGGAACTTGCAAGTCATGACTTGGAAGTCAGACTTAATTTACTATTTTTAGGACTTGAGACTTGACTTGATAAAATGGACTAAGACTTGGGACTCGACTTGGACTTGATGGTCAATGAGGTGGGACTTGACTCAGACTTGAGGCTTGTGACTTGAGAAGCACTTTTATATCTGAATTTTTAATATTCTGAGCGTAATGATTCACACTAAGATCTTGTCAAGACATTTAAAAAGCAAAAAAATAGTATTTCTACAAAATTAACATTTCTACAACTGTATATACTCTATAAATCAGGGGTGTCCACACTTTTCCAGCATGTGAGCTACTTATAAAATGTCCAAGTCAAAATGATCGACCGACTACAAAGTCAAGTAAACTGTACTGGACTTAAGAGAACTTTCAATAGCACTTTACAGAAAACGGAAAAAAGTGAAGACAGCGATTAGGATTTTAAACCTGTTTTTTCAAGTTCCTAACTGGAGTTCACATGGTTAGTACGAGTTTTACAGTGGGATTCAGCCTCTGCACATTTACCAAACCAAACCCAGATGTATTTGTGTGCATTTGTCTGCTCTGTAGGTCGGCTCTGTGCTCTAACATAAATTTAGATCAGTTTTTGCTTCGCGTTTTGTCTTGTCCTTCTAATCTGTGCGCATTCTGGAAGGAGCCTGTGTGTGCTGACGTGAGGCAGGTGGACAGGTAGGATGTTTAGGAAGTTGAACCTGCCCTGTGATGCACGCTGGTACACGAGGGCACACGCTGTCGCAGACGAGCCGTGCATAGGGAGCGTGTGTGTTTGTGATGCGCCGTAGAGTCTCCGCGGGTTTCAAATGAGCGCACAGGCTGCACTGAGACGCCCCACACGCTCCTGCACCCGCTACAAGTTTATTACCAACAGCAGCGGCCGGAATGAAATATGATCACACTTGTTGAGTGTCAGACCTCGAGTGAGAGACAAGACCGAGTCCAAACGCGATCGAGTCCCGAGACGAGACACGGCGATCTACACACACGACCTTGGCGATCGACGTATTGGGCAACCCTGCTATAAATATTCATATATAAATATACTATGATTTTTTTTAAAGAACAATTTAGTTAAAAACTCATGTAAATGGCAAAAATCTAAGCTATATTTGGTACTTTGGTTTAAAGACTTGAAATGACTTGAAGCTCAAAGCAGACGACTTGGACTTGACTTGGATTTAGGGGCCAGTGACTCGAGACTCGACTTGGACTTGACTCGGATTTGAGGTCAAAATCTTGAAACTTGCAAAACAAAGACTTGCTCAAACCTCTGCTGTCTGTTTTTGTGTTTTCTGGATGGTATTTTTATTGTTCTTTGCTGCTTGTACAGAACTTTTTTAAACCTTGTTTGTAGTGAAATAAAAATAAAGATTTATTATCATTATTATTATTTGATGAAATGAGTTTTCTTTGGCGTTTCCACCCCGGCAGCAGACACTGTGATGCAGGGCGTGGTCAGTTATGATGATGTTAGGACATGTTGATTTTGTCTTGATTTTTTGAAATGCACCATGACAGAGAATGTCTGGTCGGGCAGTTTCTGATTGGATAAAAAAAGGGCGGCCCCTGTCAGGAATTTCTGTATTAGTCATTATCTGAGAAAGTGTTATGTAAAATTAAGTGATTTATGTTTTACATTTAGTCGCTTTTACCAAACAATGACTGAAGAAAAGAGCATTTATCTTCACAAAAATACATTAAAATCAGGTACAGGCCTTTTAATGAATCAGAATTTTGGTAAATGTTTAGGTTCAGTCGAAATAAGAAGATTCTCAACTGTTGAGAGGGGGACAAAAAAATGTGAATCTGCAAATTTTGCTCATAAAAAGAAACAGAAATGAACAAAATTAATATTACGCTGTTTTCTGATCTTTGTTGTTAAAAATACACTTCGGGTTGTGTTTTGTTTCATTCACACAAACAGCCCTGCATATTTAGACTTCTTCTCGCACACAAAAAACACCTTGTGATGTCATAGATCAGGGGTGTCAAACATACGACCCGGGGGCCAGATCCGGCCCTCCAAGACCTTTAATCTGGCCCTCGGCTGATTTTCTACTCAAATATTTTAATTATATTTTCTATTAAAATCTTGTTAATTTTCTGTGGTGTTTATCACATTGCAGCAGCGTCTCCAGCGTCTCTGTACGTGGCCCCTCCCACCAGAGCAGCACAAATGAAGACTTGTCTCTTTCCAAACGCTCTTAAAGGACGATCGTTTTGACTGTTGACCGTGACACCCTCATCAGAAAAATGTCCAACATGAGAAAAGTGGAGCCGAGTGCAGGATTTTACAACAAAAATTGACTTATTCCTGTTTACAGACAAGTTCATTTTAAAACTTTGTGTTGAAATTGTATTTTTCTTAAAGTTTCAGGTTGTTCATAATATTATAATATTTTGTAAAAGAAAGAGTTCATCAATTAAAAAAGATTTCTGTAATAGATTTGTGTTTCTCTGCACAAATATTTGAACTTATTGTTATTTTTGGGGTTTATATGACATGAGTTTTCTGATCCGGACACTTTGGGATCAAAGTCGGTTGGACACGACCCCCGGAACAAAATGAGTCTGACAAACCTGATCTAAAACCAGTGTTGGGAAGGTGACTTTTAAAATGTAATCCCCTACAGATTACAGATTACATACCCCAAAATGTAGTTTGTAACATAATCCATTAAATTACTTAAGGTGAGTAATGTAATCTGAATACTTTGGATTACTTGATTTGCTGTAGAAGCAAAGACCAGGATATCGTAGCATAAGATGTTTTATCTGCTAAAAGACAATGAAAAGTCCAGTCTTTACTGAACTGTATTAAAAATATTATTGATAGAAGACGAAGAGACACGTCCACGCAGCAGGATTTAGTCCTGTTAAATCCTGTTTTAGTCCTGGTTTAGTCCTGATTTTAGACCTGTTTTAGACCTGGTTTTAGACCTGGTTTAGATCTAATTTAGATCTAGTTTAAACTTGGTTTTAGTCCTGGTTTAGTCCTGGTTCAGACCTGGTTTAGTCCTGGTTTAGACCTGGTTTAGTCTTGGTTTAAACCTGGTTTTAGACCTGTTTTAGTCCTGGTTCAGACCTGGTTATTCCTGGTTTACACCTGGTTTAGTCCTGGTTTAGACCTGGTTTTAGACCTGTTTTAGACCTGGTTTTGATCTAGTTTAGATTTAGTTTAGACCTGGTTTTAGTCCTGGTTTAGTCCTGGTTCAGACCTGGTTTAGTCCTGGTTTAGACCTGGTTTAGTCCTGGTTTAGACCTGGTTTTAGACCTGTTTTAGACCTGTTTTAGACCTGTTTTAGACCTGGTTTTGATCTAGTTTAGATTTAGTTTAGACCTGGTTTTAGTCCTGGTTTAGTCCTGGTTTAGACCTGGTTTAGACCTAGTTTAGTTTTAGTTTAGCCTGGTTTAGTCCTGGTTTAGTTTAGTCCTGGTTTAGTCCTGGTTTAGACCTGGTTTAGACCTGGTTTAGACCTGGTTTAGTTTCCGGCAATGAGTGGAGTTATCGAGAAAAAAAAAAAAAAAGAAAAAAAATGGGGGGGTATAGCCCAAAATGTGAAAACAAGAAAATCCCTCTGTGTAATCCATTTATTTCAACCAAGTAACTGTAATCCAATTACCACTCACTGAAACAGTAACTGTAACTGAATACAGTTACTCATCATTTGTACTCTGATTACATAACTCCGGTACATGTAATCTGTTACTCCCCGACACTGTCTAAAACCTTCATGATTATAAGTTATATAATAATTTCTTATAAAAATATGACTATGTGAATGGGATTTATGAGGAGTTTGTGTCTGTTGGTTCTGACAGACTTTCTGCAGGCGGCAGTGAGTCTTATTTCTATAGGTTTATATCTGAAATATTCCTCCCTGAGTGTGTTCAGGAGAGTTTGGTCATTTCTCCACCTCACCTCTTCATTCCATCGCTCCCTCGCACTTTCATAGAGGAAATGCTCCACTGTGTTTTTAAACTCCGTACACCTTCACTAGAATCATTTGGATAATTTCAGGCCTGGAATTGAGCGTTTCTCTACTGAACAAAAAGTAAAAAAAGGAGCTGTTAACGGAGCATTCTGAGGTTTGAGGATGTAAACGGACTAATCATGCAGGATTACTCAAACATATGGGTGAAAAAAAAAAGAAAAACCAAGGTATCCAGG